ACCTGAGCCACTCTACCTCCAGGAATGCAAATTTCTCTCTCAGAATAAGAGCAGACCAGATCCCAAGTGGCCAGAGCAGCCTGACATGCCTGCTTTTTCCTCTGTGCTGTCAGTGGAGAGAGGAACCTCAGTCTTCCTTCGCAAATCTTGAGAGGCCTCTGTGTCTCTGTTAAACAGACTGAATTGTCCACTTCCTTATGGGCATGCCTGGAATTTTAGTGAACGACTGACCAAGTTCATGGTTTACATTTGGTGGAAAGATTTTCACTGAGTATCTTTGGAGGGCTTTGATTCTGACTTGGACTTTCTGCAGTGATAAATTGTCAATAAGAAGAGCCAAAGAATTTAAAAGGATAGTTGACTATAGCTCAGGAATGGGTTTATATGCAACCAGGTGGAGCTTAAAAGGGATGATGCGCTTAAAAGCACACCGAGGCATTGCTGTAAGAGGTTTTACTCTAGGCACTGAATTAAAACCTTATTGTCAAAAATTCTAAAAAAAAAAAATTCACAGGACAGACTTTATCCTGTGATAAATATTAATAAGTGAGCATCCTGTCACTTAACTGAATTACTTTTTATTCAGTTCCTCAGCTGGGAGAAAAGCAAATTGAAAATGACTTTTATCATTTTGACAGGTATAGCTTTGTGACTTAAATGCATATTCAGCTGGATTTGAAAATTCTATCAAGATGCACTCCAGAAAACATTATTCTTCACGCTAAAGCTGTCTATTAAATTTTTCTTGGTTACATAAAACGTTAGTAAGAGCATATACAGATGTCTGTCATTACTGGGTGATCAAAGGTAAAGAACAGAATAATTTCTGTTTGCATGAAAGGTGAGGCCTAAATCATGGTGTTTCCTCATGGAACACCCACCATCTATTTCAGTAATCGGCGTATCTGCAGTTTTATGAAATAATAAAAATACTTGAATTAGGCTAAAACTCTGGACATGGTCCATAGATATTTTAAAAGACTCTCTGGCTATTGTTAGGAAAGGTTCTTAGAATTTCTGTTGAAGTACATATAAGGAACTGAAAGGTAACATTCAAACTTAAAAGCTTAGTATAGAAGTTTACTTGAAAAAAGAAGTCATGCTGCCTGTGGAGCTAAAATAAATTTGGTCGGACTCAACTGAAAAGTTACAGAGGTCAGTGAATACTTGACTAACTGTTAGCTGAAACAACTTGTCTGACTGAGGCTGGGAATGGGACAGATCTTAACTCCTGGAGAAATAAACTTATCAACAGTAATGACAAAAAAGCTGTGAAAGGAAGCATAAAAAAGTGTTTAGTGTTTCAGTTGGTTTTTCCATGAGCCATAGAGTCTGAGCAACAAAATAGTGTGGTGTGTGTTTTTCATTGCCAACAGCGCTGAAGCACTGAGCACCTAAGTGTTTTCCTGTGGGGCTTTCTCGATGTCTTTACCATATGAATTCTCACCAAACCAGGCAGTGGTGCCATAGTTGCTGGCCACTTCAGTTCATCATCAGATCACAAGCTAGGCTTGAGATTGCCTTTCAAACTGGGCCAGTTGTTAGGTTATGGTATTGATACGTAGTCTAAGAGAAATCAGTTTAGGGGGTGGGGTAGTGAACGTTTCAGCACTGATGGGAAAGTGAGAAAAGAGGTGCTAGGTACAATAGCTTCTCCAGCTATTGTGTGGTCAAGTGGCAGGAAATGAAGAATCCAAGCTCTCAAATGTTTCTGGAATTTTACTGAGTCACTAAATGGTCCCCTGTGACTCTGTAGACACACATTCTTACTGCCTTCAGTAATGATTTATTTTGTTCTGCGTGTAGTAGGAGAACTCACATGGGCAGTTACTGTATCTGGGTTGCAAGGGTAGCCTTCAGCAGAGAAAGAAAATCTGATAACTTTTTAGACTGTTTTAACATGATTTGCAAGGACATGTCTGTCCAGGCATTGACTGATGGTCCTTCAATTATGTATGTTATCTCCAAAGTATTTTGGAGCAGTTACAAATTGCTCTTGGAAGTTCCTCCTCTTCTGCTTTGCCCTGCACAACGGTTTGTCGGTGTTTTGAAGTGGCTTGTTTGTTTCAGGATACTTGGGAAAATCAATCCACACAAACTCAGCCCTCATTCTGTGTACTTGATATCTTTTACCAGCTGAGTAATCTCTGCTTCTCCTTTTGTTTTTCTTTTTGCTAAGTATATGCTTGCCCTTATTGCTTCTCCACATAAAGCAGAAAGGACAAATACTCCCCCAAGTAACTGCAGATAATCTCTTCTATAAACTGTTTGCATAGCTATCTGGTCCAGCCCAAAGATAAACACATGCCAGAGGATCAGAATTTTATGAACTGTTCACAGACAACACGATATAGAGAGTTTAGCAAATGAGTAATCAGAAAATTACGCATTTCTGAGGGTGTTGTTCCATACCATACAGGTATTTGTTATTCAGAGAGAATGGGTTTCTTTATTTTTTGTGTTTGTGGAGTGGGAAAAAAGAAACAATGTTTTTGCCTCTTTGTTGAAGGAGTGTGTTTCCTTCTTCAGTGATCCAGATTTTAGGAAATTTATAGTGTTTTGATCTTTTATACAGCCTCTTTCAGTCGCTGGCTGATTTCTTCTGCAGTTGTGATGTACAATCCAGAGGTGAAAGTTCTGGAGCTTTATATATCATACTGCATTAAACATAACTGCACATGCAAAATATGTGCTGTCGAAAACTCTCCACTTTTATCCTCTCACTTTCAAAGCTGCATGGTGATCCATCACTAGGCAGCTTTGGTTGGAGCCCTTCTGTGAAGGTGCCGTGGAAAAATTTTCCTCAGACGCATTTTGTTGGCTGCGATTCTCCTCAGCTCACACAGAGTTGCTGAAACCATTCAAGTGAATTAAATCAGTGCAGGCTGCCATTTGCCGGGTGGTGGAACAAGGCTTGTGACAAGTGGAGGAATTAAACAAATTAGCACAGATGGTTATGTTTGATGTTACATCATTCAGATTGAAGAACAAGCAAGAAACACCCACAG